ATAAGAGTAGTTATTCGATGTACCTGTTCGATAGTGCTGTGCTTTCTTCTAAAACCCAACTGATGGTCAGGAATAATGCAATTATCGTTAAGGTGTACTATAAGGCTTTCAAGCAATAACTTTTATAAAAGTTTTGAGAATATTGACAACAGGCTAATGGAACGGCATGATGTCACTTGAGTGACATCTTTTCCCGGTTTTGGTATCATAACAATTTCGAATACTTTCCATGAGGTAGGGAAATATCCAATACGTAGCATCGAGTTAAAGATGAACAAAATAATTCTCAGTGCTGAAATGAGCAGGTTATTTATCATCGTGGTAGTAATTTTATCTATATCAAGTGATTTTCCTGCCTTTAGACCTTTGATTGTCGTCTTCACGGTAGAGAACCGGAATTTTATTAGGCGTGGAACCACATTATTTATAATGTTAATCAGTAAACACATTCTCCAAGTGATTGGCGAATGCTTCAAGTTTCTCTGACGAATTTCTTGCCCATTGACCATTCTGTAGGCGTATGGGTGACTCATATGCAATAGGGCATTGCATAAGTTTAACAGCTTTCCAGAGACTATATTCTGTTTTCTTAGTAGGGTCTAAGTTTTTGAGATAATTTCTCAGATTAGATTCCTTTTTTTTTTTAAGGCGATGTGAAGTCTTCTTTGGCACTGATTAAGTTTAACCTTTATGTTTGGAGATCGCGATTGTTGCCATTGACGTCTGAGTGTTCTCTTTTCTTTAATTAGAGACTCAATGTTCCTAGGACATTTCGAATTTTTGTAGTAAGGTGACTGGGGATGTAGACACTTTGACAGCATCTTGTAAGATATCCGTAAATACATCGACAGCGGATTTTATTTCATGGTTATTTTTCAATGAAATGTTTTGTGGCAAGTGTGAGCTAACATACATTTTATACTTTAACCAGTTCCTCTTCTTGTTAGGGAAACAAGAACAATAGTTTTCCAATTTATTTGAGGTTTCTAATAACGTTAAAACCGTAGGCGAGTGATCTGACGAGAGGTCCAGTGAAGAGATCACTGAAATAAATTCTCGTTTTATATTCTTGATTACAGCAAAGTCAATTATATCGGGAATCTTATTGAGGTCTGTAGGCCAATGGGTAGGTTGGCCACTAGATATGGCATCTAGTCTGTTATGCGATATTGCTTCTAGCAATTGTCTGCCTTTGGGAGTAATGAGGCGAGAGCAGCAAAATGTATGTTTTGCATTATAATCACCAGCTGCTATGAATCTTGGTCCAAGAGTTTTATCTAATATTTTCTAATATTTTTTCTCACTAAAATTGCTGTTCCACCACATTCTCTGCCACTTGGATGTTTTGTATCGTAAGTGTAGTATCCGTTAATTCTGAAACAATTCTTTAGGGTAAAGTGAGTTTCAAAGACGAGTAGTACGTCAACTTCCTGAAGTAGCAGGAATTGTTCTACTTCATTCTTGTGTTGGCTAAGGCCGTTAGCATTCCAAAAACAAATTCTTAAGGAATTAATTTTTTATTTAGCAGGATCTGCATGAGCATGCTTTGATTCTGCATTAATTGTCGAAACATATTTTGCATATTTGCCTTGAAACTGTTCATGGTTTGAATTAGATTTTCAATAGAGCTTTGAGAATTTGTTTCGGGAGCGGGTACACCCTCTTTTAATGCATGTGCATATGAAAATAACCTGGTATTATTTTATTATTATTTGTTTGTAAATTTTCATTATTTTTATTTGTAAGACTTCTATATTGGGCACTAGATGTTTGTTTTGCGTTCATTTGGGTAACGGAACCCTCTTTTGTCGTATGGGCATACGATTTATTCTGATTGCTTTTATTTGTGATACTTCTATATTGAGCACTAGAAGTATTAGGAAGGCTTGGGAAGTTAGAAGCTTTATATTGACCATATAAAGGTCTTCTGGCCTTAGTTGATTGTTTCATGTGTATATATACTGGACATCCGCGATAGTTAGCAGTGTGATTTTGACCACAGTTTTTGTATTTATGTTTAAAAATTTTTATTATAAATGAAATTCTTAATACAAAAGTATAGTTTTTACTTTAATTTTTATGTAAACATTTGTTTTTTTGAAGCTTGATTGACCATATGGATCCTGAAAGCTTAATCATAGGCCCGACTTTCAAGTTTTCTTAAATAAAAAGTTCAGATGGTGAAAGAAATGACTTCTAATGGTTAAATTATCTAAAAAATTAGTTTTTGAGAAGATTTCGAGAGGAAAAAGTTTTGAATCCACGACATTCCACCGATTTTTTGGGCCAAATTTCGAACAATATTTCGCTATTTCGCAATTCGATTAATAGGGGCTTAAATATCAAAGTATATTGATGGACTTGTGAAATAATGCTAAAATAATTAAATTTAACACAAAGAATTTGAATCGTAAGTAGTTTACTGTAACTTAAGTTTAGATAAAATGCACACAATTATATTAAAACATCAGAAAGAATATTCTTTATAATTTTTTCATAAAAGGTAATGAAATAAAAAACATATTTTATTTTCCTCATTTAAAAACATTATGTTTTATTTTTTGCAATAGATCGTATTGAGTCTATATACTAGTATTAATTCCCAAACAGTACTATATGTACCTAAATTTAAAATTAATTTTCGAAATTTTTACATTTATCGAAACTTTAGTCTTAAATTCAACTTATTTTACCTGTCCATCAAGATACTTTGATATTTAAGCCCCTTTTTAACCACCAAGAACGGATTGAGTTGCCAAAAGGTGAAATATTGCTCAAAATCTGGTCCAAAAATCGGTGGATTATCGTTATCTGTAAGCTGATTCAAAACTACTTCGGCTCAAAATCTTTTCAAGAACTCATTTTTTAAGTAATTTAACAATATTAAGCAATTTCTTTCACTGTTTTAACTTTTTATTTAAGAAAATTTGAAAGTCGCGGGTCCAATTCCGCTGTCAGAGTTTATATGGTCAAGCAGGCGTTGAAAAAAACACACGTTAACATAAAGAACCGAGGAAGCAGTATATTTTGATATTGGGAATATCACTTACAATTAAAATTTTTAAAATAAGTACAAAAACGCCGTTTAAGAAATCTTAGATTATGTCTCCAGTGTAATACTATGAATCGTTTCTATTATTTTTTCCAATGCTAAATATTTCAAATACCAATAAAATACGATGGAGCAAAAAAACGTGTAAACTCTATTTATCATAAGAAAGTAATGTTAAATGCCTTTTATTTAAGATACAAAACATAAAATTCTAACGGATAATTTTTTTGAAAAATTCTTTTTCGTTTCTATTATTTGAAAAAAATAATAGAAACGACCTTACTTTCCGGTAAAAAAAAAATAATTTTTCTCAAAAATTACCCGTTAGAATTTAGAGATTACAAGTTTTTTTGCTCCATTATATTTTATTTTTATTGGAAAAAATAATAGAAGCGATTCATAGTATTACACTGGACACATAATCTAAGTTTTCTTGTGAAAAATAAAACAATTTTTTTAAATGAGGAAAGTAAAGTATGTGTTTTATTTCATTACCTTTTCTAAAATCTAATACGTTTATTTTATGAACAAAATTATAAAGAACATTCTTTCTGATGTTTTAATATGATAGAGGGTGCATTTTATAAAACTTACGTTACAGTAAACTGCATACAATTTAAACTGAATTTGAAAAATTTTGTGTGTTAAATAATGCTAACTATTTTAGCATTATTTCACAATTCCATTAATATACAGTGGTTTCCCGGTTTAACGAAAGATATCGTAAAAATGAAAAATACGTTAAACCGAATAACAACTTTTCTATGATTTAATGATAAAAATAGGGTAATGGAAAGTAGGAAGTAAATTTTTTAAATCTTTTTGAATGCATACATAAAGTTTTTGACAATTTCCTTGCATTTTTATAAATTTAGAATCAAAACAAAAATAAAGATTTTATGAAAAATTTGATTAAAACTATCTAAAAAGTTATATTTTTTGTTTAATGAAGATAAAGTTGTTTCATTTCGAAAATGAATTCTTTTCTTATAAAAAAAGACAAATTAGGGATTTGATCCCCTTTTTAATCGATGTGAATTCTAAGTATTTTACGGTAATTTTTATTACAAACAATTCCATTTCTCACTTTATTAGTAAAATAATCATAATATTCCCTTATATAAAGAATTTTATGTTAAAATGTATGTCTACTTAATAAATCTTATTTATATTTATTTATTTCATTTATTTGTAATACAAAGCCTACAAAGGCCAAAATATTGATATTATACAGCAAATAACGCCTGAGATCATATTAAAAATATATACATATATAAAAAAATATACAAATCTACATACTTAAATACATACTTAAATTCAAAATAGAAATACTTATATTAAGTCCCTTCTATAGAATATTCAGATTCTCATATCAATTTATCCTTCACTTGGCTAAATTGATATGAGAATCTGAATATTCTATAGAAGGGACTTAATATAAGTATCTCTCCGTATTATTTTTTTATAGAAAATTTTTTTGAAATTCGTTATATCGAGTACAACAAACAATTTGCCCGTTATAAAATAGCGAAATATTGCTATTTATATCTATAATATATCTATTATTTTCGGTGTGAGATCGATTTTGTTGTATACGTAAAAACTAAAACTCATATTTTCACGAATATGTATTTAATAAATTAATAGCTAAATTTAAATTTAGAAGACATCAACCTGTACTATCTGAATCTGATTTAATTTTTTAAATCTCTTGATTTCTTTAAAAGTTATTTAAAAATAGTAAAATGTAATCAAATATTCAAAGCAGTTTTTCTCGAAACAAGATTTTTGGATTATGCGATATTCTGTCGTTACATATTTTTATATAAATGTATGTAATTTTAGCTATATTTCGTCCTTTTAAATTGAGAATTAAACTTTATTTTTATTATACCGTTTTACCATATTAAATTAATTTATGAATTTATGTTCTATATTATAATTCCAGTGCCTAATATATTGAAAAAAACCGGTGGTCATATGCCCACTATTTCCATGTTCCCTGGTGGTGGTGAGTTACCATCATATTCACCACCATCTCGGTCATTCTTTACACCCCCACTACCACCAGAATATCAACATCCCTTTGCTGACAAACCAACATTGCGCGGAACTAATAACGAGGGAATAATTGAACCCAACTCTGGCAGCTACATAAACCGCAGACCTATACCGCCACCCAGTTTGATGCCTGGACATGAACGTATACCTTTAAGACCTCCAGATTTAAGTGGGTCGTCGAATAATAATGAAGGTGTATCAGCGGCACAAATACCGTCATCAGCTGGTAGTACAAAATCTCCTTTATATTCTTTGACGACAATGAGTGACCATCACGAAAGTGATATTAAAAAATCGTTAAATACTCCCTCAAAAGTGACAGGTATTAGTTTGGAAAATGTCTCGAACGTAGAAGGAATAAATATATCATCATCTGGTGTATATTTAGACGCAAATAATAGTATATACAACAATTCAAATAATCCTGAAGTTAGAAAGGAAGTTCTTCCTAGCATTAGACGTATTTTAAGTGGATCCAATGGCCGAAAGGGTGATATACCTGAAGTCTTATTAAAACAGGTAACTACAAGACCTAATAACAACTATCATCACCCGCCGTCCTCGCCAATCGTTCTAATTAATTCGTCGTTATTGGCAACACATGAAGGTACTGTGGACAATACGGATAACAAACAAAACATAAACAAAATGAAAAATATGCGAGATTCTGAGAATGATGATGACCCACAACAAAAAGTAAAATTTACAACAAGTACTCTTGGTGAGAGTAATTTTACTTCGAATAATATTACGTCAACGCCATCAGCCGCTGCAGCAATTGGTGGAAGCGAAAAAGTTAAAGCTGCTATATCAGCAGCAATAGCAACATCAACAACATCAAGTAATTTTGATATGTCGCTATCGGTTGGTAAAAATAATGGAGATAAATTATCGTCATCGACTTCCTCATCAACATCATCCATATCGTCATCAACATCTTCTTCAACATTAGCATCTGCGTCGGCACATGCAACATGGTCTTTGGCTTGGAATATTCATGTGTATTTATCCGTTATACTCTTTACTATATTGGCAGTATATTCATTTTATAAAATGATCACTTATAACAAACTTACACATCTTTTCTCCCAATCATATTTCATTTGCATCCATCTTATTTTGATCATCATATGTACAGCTCGAACATTCTATTTATGCTACGACGCGTATAATATTCATTCCAGTTTTCACATTTTTATATCGGAAATTCTACTTAATTTACCAGCCACATTCCTGACTATATCATTTGCGGTTTTAATATTATTTTTATCTCTCAAGTCACTGAATCATAAGAATAATCGATATTCTGCGTTAATACGACCGTTAACGGTAGTCGTAGGCTGTGGAGTACACGTAGTTTTATGTATTACTTTACATTATGTCGAATCTTATACTTTGCAAAATCATCAGCAGCATTTGTATTATCAACAACAGCAGCAATTACTTACAAAAAGACAGCTAATGCAACAACAACAACAGCAAAACTTTCAATACAATTATTTACAAAATCAATATTCATATGCTGCCAATATTATGGGTCTCGAATCAATGGCGTTTAGTTCGTCAATGTCCTCAGTTCCGGGAGCTAACTTTCATCAACAGACTATAGCAACCAGTGTATCTTCATTGCCACCACCTCCACCTAGAGTATTGTCATTGATATGCCAAATAATTTATATATTTGTATGCTTTAGTTTGGGACTCTTGTATCTCTATTTATATCGCATTTTAAAACGCATTTTACGAAGTAAATCTCAAAACTATATACACGGTTATCAAAATCTTTCATATGCTATACACATAACTATAGCCACAGCGTTGCTTTTTGTGTTACTAGCATCATTACAAATCTTCGGTGCTATAAGCATTTCATCGTCCAGACCTTTAATTACCAAAAAAACAGCTGAAATTGACTGGCTGCAGTGGGGTTATCAATTTTCCTTGCGCCTTATCGAAATCGCAATTATAACGCTGATCTCTTGGGTCACAGGTCTTAAAACGAGTAATGGAAACAATACGGTCAATATTAATTTAACCAATAACGATTCTAGAGTGGTGACAGGTCAGGTAAACGGTGCCAATTCAACGTTTAACACAAATCTTAGTGTGAATCCAGTGCGCGAAAAGCATGGTGTCCATAATAGCCAATACAACCACTCGAACATGACAAATTTCTTTTTGCCTTGTACCTCGAGTTCCAGTCAGGAACAGTTTGATACAGATTATCCAGCAGTATGTAATGCAAATACCAATTTACATACATACACAATGCGCACTGGTAAACTAATATACGATGATAGTTTTGCCTTGAATACACTAAATGTAAGCAATACAGCTACTCCAGCAAGCGATTTTCATCATCCACATCACCAAGTTCAGCCACATTCTAAACAGCCGCCACAATCTACTTATCAGCATCCCTATGATTCTCAATCTTTACACAGTTCGGCCCATCACAATGTTTCTGAATATGGTTCCAGGATAAATTATAAGCCCGAAAACCATTTACAATACAACGATTATTTGACAGATAATACAACGGACCACTATGAAAATCCTAATTTCGATTTACGAGGTTCCGGTTCTGCTACTTCAGGATCAGCTTTAGTGGTAAACTCTAATACTGGCAATGGAACAGTACAAAAGTTTGGTAAAAATTCCATTTCAAATTCGACCACTACAGCTTCTAGCAGTAATAATTCAAATATGGGCTCTAACTCATCGTCTGGTTCATCGGCTACGTTGCAGCAGCAAATGTTATTGTTACATGGTGGCGGTGACACATGCTATTCAGAGCCAATTCATGAAAACTATGATTTTAATAATTTTGAAAAACCAAAATTTAAACAACAGCCCCATGATAATTGGCCAGACGCTCATATTCCCGCTATACTAAACAAACGTGATAAGAAAAAATCATTAACTACCTTAGAAAGATGTGGCTATGATAAGCCCGAGCGACGTAGTTCTAATTCCACGCATTCCTGCAATTCGAATAGCAATTCCAACAATATTGGCGTTGGTGCTGCTAATAATGGTAATGGCGGTGGTAGCTCACGCTATGCTAGTTTTAATACTTTTGAAAGAGCTCCTTTTAATAATGTGCGCAAAAGTGATACGTTCAACAATATAACATCTAACGGTCTAAATATAATGCACGGACGCAATAATTCCTCATCATCAGCTACGTCAGCAACATCGGTTAGTGGATCTAGAAATACTCCATTAGGCATACAGACTTTGGCATCAACTGAAAGACATCATCATGTTATGCCTTCACGAAACTTACGAGCAAGTGGTAGTTCAAAAGTTTTAACAAATAATGCCTCTGGGCTTGATGTTTTTTCACGTTCAACAATAGAACGTTCAAGTATTAGCCATAACCAGCAGAGGCCTCTTAACCAGCTAAATCAGTCTCAAGTACAAAACCAGTATTCCGATGATGATGACGATGATAAAGATGACGATATAATGTTAGCGGGTATGTAATTTTTTAAAGTTCATGTGAATTGTTTAATAATAAAACTAATTAAACGTTTATAAATCCTTTACAGCATCTCCACATCAGGTGTAATACTATGATACTAAGGCCTTGCAGCTGTCACAATTAGTAAAAAAGAATGAATTCCCTGATTAATCTACATGTGTATATATACACTCATATAAAGGAGCTTAAAACATTTTAAAACTCAATTGAATATAAGTATACATATATTTCTTTGAGCTTCGAAAACCTTTATATTATATACATATATGTATGTATACATACTTTTTTGTTACCATCTTACAAGCTTCTCTAGTAATTTACAACTCAGGTACTTCTCATAAAACATCACACGTTGGTACAAAAAATGAGATCGCTATCCGTAGTTGAGCAAGGTTTCGAGAGTATGTGTAATTATACAACAGTTAATGTAGTTATCAGATGGAAAGGAATTCAAAACTTTTTGAAACTAAACAACCAATCGAATAAAAGGTTTAGTGTAGTCATGCATATTTTTTTTTTATTTAAAACGTCTTCTTTTAAAAAATTCAACTAGACTTTTTTATGTACATTTAAAAAAAATACAGATATTTTTATTGAAAAATATAAAACTTAAATTTAACTTAAAGCAACTCACATTAAATTCAACATTTTGCGCATACCTTTTCCATAATATATCATCACAAATTACATTTTATCTCCTTTCCATTGCAAACTCAAAATACATATAGCCTTCATTAATCAAATCATTACATTTCAATATTTTTTATTCAAATGAATTAACAAATTTTTACAATAAATTTAATTAAATATATTGGATATATATACTACTTCAATCTTAAATAAATTTTGTAATACGTATCAATATTTATAGAACCACTCGTCTTATTGTTCATTTGTTTTTTATTTAATTCATTACCTTATCGAATTGCGATATCAAAACTTTAAATTCATAATTATTATGTTTTTTATTACTGCAATTTTTTGCACATTATTAAGCAAATTCTTCATAGTTGTAGTTTTTTTTTTCGTGTGTTTATATATCTACAAATGTCAAGTTCATAGTTTTGCTATAGTAAAAAACTTCAAAATTTACATTTCGTCCATATTACAGCAATATGAAAATTTTATTGGTTACACGGGCGGCAGTGAAAAATTGACTAGTGCGGTTTTTAGATCTAGTTGAATAGTTAGTTAGTTTAAAAGGAGGATGTATATACATAAAATCCGAAGAAATATACCTAGGCCTCTATCGGGTCTATTGTGCCTCAGGTGGGAATCGAACCAACCAGTAGTGCAGTTTTTTTAATACACTAGGTGAAGGTTGTATGTGTTTCGACATAGCCGAATATAAAAAGTCTTGTTTCTTTTTAATTTTAGATTGTAAGTAGGCTTTTAACTCAAACTTTCTTACAATGTATTTTATTATATTTTAAGTGAACAGAATATGATATTTTTGTTAATATAGAAGTTTACAAAGAGTTCAATGTTTAAGTGAAACAATATGCAAAGCACAATGGGACAAGATCAACATATTTTTGAAATTATGGTGCAATCATATTAATAATTTTTTTCATTTCTTTGATTTTGAATGGGCTAATGAAAAGAAAAATAAAAAAGTAATTTTTTTAAATAGTGTTTGTCAGAAATAGACTTAAAGCCCAAAAAGGGAAAAGATAAACAAATTGAATAAATTGATATCGTTAACAGAGGCCGCAACGGGTCAGAAGTTTTGAAGTGCATTTGAAAGGGGGAAATTCGCTGTTGTTAAAATGTTATTAAATAATTCATTTTGCATGTTATATTAAAGAAATCTTAATATACGCAACAAATTTTTAAAAAACATAAAAGTTATTGAAAATTGCCAATTTTACTGTTTTATATCTTTCTGAAATCCTATTTATGTTACATTGCGTTTATTTAATGTCAATATTTTGTCAAAAACGATTTCCCCTTGTAAATAAGCGTTGCGGCATCTGTTAACATAGTTTTACAACCCAAAGAACAATTCTAGAGAACACTAGCGTACATTTTTAAGAAGGTGCAAAAGTCTTTTTCCATTGCCGTTAAAAAATTAAATGTGGTTTGAATAAATATGAGTTAAAAATGTTTATGTCCGACAACAATGGAATATCTCCTTATTTACTTCACTACACCTACGCACTGCACTTAATCACTTCGTGAGTATACATACAATGTATATACTTTTTGTAATTTTCTCCCACCGTGTAATCATTAGTAACTATACAAATACTAAACAATCAAATTTTGTTATTGAAAAGTATTTATCATTCTGTTTTAAGAATAAATACGATAGATCCCGTTTAATTTAAATATAAGCACTTTTAATTTCTGGAATGCTTAAATAATAAATTCAGTTACATATTAATAGTAAAGGAAATATTAAGGGTTTATTAGTTTGATTCACATACAATTTTCGAAATTTCGAACTTTTAAAACTTTTAATTTATTACTTTACCAGAGGATACATTGGAACCAGTAATAAATTTAAATTGAGAGTTCAAGCTCTATATATAATTGCTGACAGAAGCTACCTTTTCGTTTTAATAAAAGAAAAAAATTATAAATTAAAAATACGAATTAGTATACACGTTGACAATTTTTATTTTAAATTATTAATTTATTTAAACTGTGATTTTGAATTAAATACAAATATTAGATTTTAGCTTCGGTAAGGCTAAAAATAAATATCTTTCAAAGACGAGGATTTGTATTTCTTTTACAATATATGATTGTTTTTGCAAAATGATAGTTATTCACGTTTTTAAATAAAAAAACACAAATGAACGATGGAACTACGGTCTGTGGCTATTTTAAATATTAATACTTAATTGACCATTTCTACAAATAACATATTTTTAAGTTTCCCCTGTTATATAGATTGTAAAATATTGATGATTTTAAATATATGTAAATGGATTTCCCTTAAAACGAAATTCACCCCCCATATTAAGATTTACACCAATAAATATTAAAAAAGCATTTGAAGTTATTTAGTATATGACTTAATTTTTTTTTTGTAAATACTGCCAGACTTTTTTAATTTTAAGTTATCACAACAAATAAATCAATTTAATAATCAACTAATAATAAGTTTGAGACATTTCTTTTTGAAGAAGCCGAAAATATGTAAGTAATCTATATATATAAAAATTAATGTGTGTTTGTTTGTATGTATGTATGTATGTTTGTTTGTTTGAAGTCTATAGCCGCCTAAACGGTTTTCTTGTAATTTTCACTGTGTCTTCTTGTATGCCTGGAAGGAAAAATAGGCTACTTTTTATACCCTTCACCTTCGTGAGAAGGGTATATATAAGTTTGTCATTCCGTTTGTAATTTCTATAATATAATTTTCCGACATGCTTTCGAGAAGATCGCTATTTAAAATCAGCAAAATCGGTCCATAAATACCGGAGATATGAGCAAAAATCCGAGACAACCTCTGAAAATTTCATAAAAAAGACAATTTTTTTCATGCTTTGATATACGCAACAACATCAACACTGCTTATTCATTGAGTATTTCGTTTCATATGTTTGGATGGCTGTGTGTTTCATTGCCTTGTGTATATTGTTTTTGTTTCTTGGTGCATTCAGTTTCGTATGTTTGGATGTCTGTTGGTTTCATTGCGTTGTGTATTTTGTGTTGCTTTTTTTTTTTTTTTGAGTATTTCGTTTCGTATGTTTTATCGCCTTGTGTATATTGTTTTTGTTTTTTGGTGTATTCAGTTTCGTATGTTTGGATGTCTGTTGGTTTCCTTGCGTTCTGTATTTTGTTTTTGTTTTTTGTGTATTTCGTTTCGTATGTTTGGATGCCTGTTGGTTTTACTGCATTGTGTATTTTGTTTTTTTGTGTGTTTATTTCGTTTAGCGTTGTTGTTGTTCGTTTTGCTATTGCTATAATAATGATATAAACGGGAAAATTAAAAAAATAAAAATTTTATAGAATTTATATTTTTTAAATACACTGTGGTGAAGGGTATATAAGATTCGGCACAGCCGAATATAGCACTCTTACTTGTTATTTTGATATTTTAAGTGGGCGAGGTGCCACGCCTTCTTACTAAATAACTATTAAAAGTCGCATATAAGAGTCCTCGTATATAAGAGTCCTCAAATTTTGAACGGACAACTTTGACATACATAAAAATATTTTTGGATAAAATGGGCGGAATGGCTATAGTGGGCGTGGCACCTTCCATGTTAAGAAAATATTAAATCAATATATCTCAGAAAATATAACAGAGTCCTCAAATTTTGTTGGAGTCATAAGTCTCGATATGATTATTTAGGATAAAAAGTGGGCGGACTAGCAGCAGGGGGCGTAGCACATCCCATATTAATTAAATACAAAAATTCGTTTATCTTTGAAACTATTACAGTTAAAATATTCAAATTTTGCACGAAGAACTTTAATATCCATGTTTCCTGGGCTAGAACATACCATTGATAGACAGAGTGTAACCCTTCACCGAAAATTAAAATGAAGACTTAGTCTTACTATGACACATTAGTTTTATAAAAGTGTAATTATATTAATTCTAGCTTATGCTTCAATAATCTGGTTGACTTCTTTGGACAAAAAATGTAATATCAAACTTCAACAGGGAGTTCACGTACATGCTGCATGAGTACAAGACGTGCCATAAGCACAACGTCAAGCAAGGCTCTAGAAACGTTGCCAGATATTCCACCCATTGAAACATACTTAAGATATCAGGCGGCACTTACAACCGAACGACTCATAACTATAGGTGAACTGGCGAAAGACGGTTATAGTACACGTAATCAATGTACATCGGACGTGCAACTTTGAAAAACAGCCCAGATAGAATGCCTTGGCACAAAGTTCCCTGTGGCCTTGGCAAGCAGAACATTTCTCACGAACACTGATTGAAAACAGAATAGTTTCCATTTTTTTACCAACAACAACCGACCGGGAATTCTCGGGAAAAGTTTGTTGGGATTTCCCGGGATTTTTTTTAATCATTCCCGGGAAAACGGGAATTTTTTTGTTAACTCATTTTTAACATATTTTGGAAAAACTAGTGAATTTATAATTTATTAGCGATTTTTTAAAGGCAAATTATAAAACAACATGCAACAGGAAATGAAAAAAATCTAAATTAAATCTATGTAAAAGCTTAACATGAAGGAAGTACAAATAGAACCAAAAACACAGGGTATACAGAGGCGTCACGAGCAAAAAACTATTTCCCTCTCTTTCGCACAAAACGAATTCAATAATTTTTTTTAGCTGTATTTTATATACCTCTTCTCACCAAACAATTTCAAAATCAAACAAAAGCTGATTTTAGACTTTTTTAAATGTCAAAAGTGACACCTCTGTATACTTTGTGTTAATGCATTTCTAAAGCCAACGTCTGTGGAAAGCGTTTGAGTTATCTCAATAGCTGGAAATTTGTCGACAAAATAACAGAATAGTCGATCTTTTCTTATATTTAATTAATTATAAGAAGTAAGAATGAATGAACTATATATGTTTCTTTTTTTTAACTATTCCCCTGCATATGGAGATATGATATGTTTAGTAGTCTGTTGATTTTTTAAAAACCTGGTGTACACACGCAGAGAAAAACCTGGTTGAAAATGGTTACTACAACTACCCCATGTTTACTGTAACAATATATTGTTTTCAAAAACATATAGTTGTTATTTTAATTAGATTTTAACAGTATTTTAGTTTCTTTAAACATTTTCGTGTTCAAGGCAATTATAAATTTGAGTATGATTCACTGAAACATAATTATGTTTACAACAACTGATAACAAAGAAAACATATTATGTTATTAACAACCATTTGTTACGAACCGGTTGTAAGGCGAGGTTTCCGACTAACTGGCATGACTGACCTCAGGAGGTTCCAACCCTTTCTCGCCAAACTCCTTAAAAAGTCGATCTTTGAAGACTTCTTTCGATTTTTTTTCCAATTTAACTTAAACAAAACCTAACTTTTACACGACCTTTTATAAATTTGTCCAACATTCATGACTTTATATGAGTTTTTATGTAAAAATTCGACTTTAAACAACTAAAAATGTTGACTTTTTGACTATTCGAGTTCTTTTTTTCAAAAAAATCGACTTTAAACAACTTTTACCATGCAAAAGTTATATTATTTCGATATAAGTCGAAAAATCTTTAAAAACATAGGACGAACATGAAAATGGACAATATAGGTCCACAATACTTTAAGGGAAAATGTCGACAGTTGATAAAAAAGTGTTAAGTCAAATTTTGCTACTTTTATCCGATTTTGTAAATAATTGTCGGGAGAAGATTATTATAAGATCATCTGAAATGGATAATGGACAATATATCGCCTCATAAATTCACATATCATTTAATAAAGTCGACTTTCTAAATTTGTTTCCTTAAAAAGTCAATCTTTGGAGACTTCTTTCGATCTTTTTTCCAATTTAACTCGAACTTTAACAAACTTTAAAGACCTTTTTAAATTTGTCCAACATACTTGAATTTTTGGGGAAAAAGTCGACTTTAAACGACTAAAAACTTGATTTTAAACAAATTTTTAACACTTTCTTATTTTTTTCATAATTATTGACTAGTTTTACCTAAAAAGATTAATTCAAACGTCATTTCGATTAAATTTAAATATTTTTGGATTCCTTGTTTCTTCAAAAAAAGTCGACTTTAAACAACTTATACCATAGAAATTTCGATATAATCTTTAAAAACATAGGACAAACATGAAAATGGTACATAACCTTAAGTGAAAAATTCTAAAAAGTCGATCTTTGAAGACTCTTCTGAAATTTATATAGCTTTTTTCTGGAAAAAGTCGACTTTAAACAACTAAAAAAGTTGACTTTAAACAAATTTTTAACACTTTCTTATTTTTTCTTATCATTTTTGACTAGTTTCAGTTCATTTAACTAAAATGATGAACTCAAACGTCATTTCGACTAAATTAAATTTTTTTGGATTCCTTGTTTTTTCAAAAAAGTCGAATTTACATAACTTTACGATGCAAATGTTATATTATTTTGATATAGAAATTTCGATATAAGTCGAAAATCTTTAAAAACAAAGCACAAACATGAAAATTGTACATAACACATACGTAATGTTACACATTCTACACTTGATCAAAAAAGTAGACTTTTTGCAATTTTTATCCGATTTTGTAAATAATTGTCGGGACAATATTCTTATAAGAATCTCTGAATTTGAAAATGGACAACATATCGGTCATTCACATTCACATTTCATTTAATAAAGTCGACTTTCTAAATTTGTTATCTTAAAAAGTCGGATTTCTTCCGAGTTTTTTTCCAATTTAACTCGATCTTTAACGACCTTTTTTTAAATTTGTCGAACATTCTTGAATTTATATAGTATTTTTGTGGAAAAAGTCGACTTTAAACGATTAAAAAACTTGACTTTAAAAAATTTTTAACACTTTCTTATTCTTTTTTCATAATTTTTGACTAGTTTGAATTCTTGAAATTAAAAATATGAATTTAAAATCATTTCGACTAAATTCGAATTTTTCTGGCCTCTTTGTTTTTTTCAGAAAAAGTCGACTTTTAGCAACTTTTACCATGCAAAAGTTATATTATTTTGCATTTAAACACTTAAAAAAAGTGTTAAGCCAAATGTCGCAATTAAATTTAATAAGAAGTCGGCTTTGTGCAATTTTTAACTAATTTTGTAAATAATTGTCGGGATACGATTCTTAATGAAATTGAAAATGGAAATATGTTACGCACATAAAGAAAACAACCCGACCAAAAATAAAACAAACCGTAACAGCTGTTTTATCAAAATAAACCTTTTTTTGGTGAGGTGAGTTATTTTTGTTTACAAATATGTGTTTCTGCACGTGGAAAAGACGCAAAAACTCGTTTTCATTATTTACATTTTTAACGTGTTTATGCACGTGGAAATGATTCAAAAAAATTGATTTTCATGATTTACTTTAAAAAAATTATTTTTGTATATGTATATAATTG